AAGAGTGAAATGGAGATGGCGAATGCAGGCAGGGAAACCGGGGAAAGACCCGAGTGTATGCAAAATACTTCGCCGTAATTCCTTCTCTCTCGCTAGCTGCACTAAAAAGAATAAACTTGAACTTAAATTAAAAAAATATATATATTTTAATCACTTTATTAAGTCATAAAAACTTTCGAGTATGGGTTTTATTTTAAATTAAAAAGGAAATAGTTTTACCTTGGGAACTATTCAATGAAAATTTAAATTACCTAGTAAAATTTGACCTTGAGAAGCTATTTTATATTTATGATCTAATATATTTGCACGTTCTTGGCATAACTTGGAAATACATAAATATGCATATTTAAAAAGTCGTTGAAGTTGAACAGAATTCAAGTAAAACGTTTAAACTACCCACTAAAGCTGCTCTGAACGATATCTTATTAAAAAATTTAATTAAGTATAGCCAATTATCAAGTAGTTTTATAATTGGAACTCGTTTATATATAGCGTTGGCTAAGAGATAAAAATAAATGGTCAAAAAAGAATAGCCAAAGATAACATAAAACCATTTGTCCAATGAACTTATAAATAATTTATTAAATAATTTATCAAATCGAATTGTATACTTATTATAAGCTATTTTATTCTTTTGGGTATCTCTTTGCGACACCCTCTCATCAAGCAGTCGTGGCCGAGCGGTTAAGGCGTCTGACTAGAAATCAGATTCCCTCTGGGAGCGTAGGTTCGAATCCTACCGGCTGCGATCAGTAGTTAACTTTTTTTTATTTAACCGAATATTAAATTATTTTTGTTCACCTTCTATGGAACGCAACTAACTTAAATGCTTTGCAGCCTTGGTATAACATTTAAAGTATTTTTTCTGAGTGCCCCTGCTAGCTTGTTCGTTGGCACAACTTATGCAAATTGCGACTCTTTGGCTTGGTCTTTGTCAAGCTAAGAAGTTGCATACCAGCGACTGGCTAGAGCACATAGTTTACATAATATATTTGTATATAGCCAGCATATATATAGGGAAAATTGCATGTTTCACTGCAATGAAAACAAATCGCAAAATTACCATAATCAAAGCATAAAAGGGATTTCTGTTTTATTCTTAGTCCCCCGCACAGCATCGTCTTCTCAGCCTGTTGCCATCTCTTTATTTCCGACCAAGACAAAAGAACCGAACCTCTTTTTTTCTTTTATTACTTTCTTTTTGTTTTTTGAAAGTTGTCGACCAAGTTTGCTCAACGAAATATTTTAAAGTAATTGGCCTCGTTTGTTGGCTGCCCGGGATGCGAGTTACAAGAGCAAATTGAATTTCGAAATATATCTATTTGAGTTTGGTAATTGGTGCGGGGCTCTTCTACGAATTGTTTTTGACAAGTTTCCTCTCGTACTTTATTGCGGTCCTTCATCCTCACGCTCCGAAGAATAGGAGTGTAATTGAGACAAAGCCCTGAAAGGGAGTGTCAAAAATATAAGTCAGTTGGTGAAAAGCCTTAAAAAATGACCATCAGTAAATTAGGTACCTGAGATCTGGCAAGAAAGTTTTTTAGACGATCTTTTACAATGGTAAAAATCGAAATTATGAAAAATTTTTATATTAAATTTTCAAAATAAAAAAATACAAACAAATTTAAATTAGTTCATCGTATCAGCAACTTTAATTAAAAAGTCATACTTTATAACGACAAATTAAATTTTAACTAAGGGGTGTGGCCAAACTTGATTGGCCAAAAGAAAAGGGCCAATAGGAGAAGCCCCAATCAAATTTGCTTTAAGGGGAGGAGCCAATGAGTATTAGCAAATCAGCCTTAGCCGAAAGGGGTGGGGCCAAAGCAGATTTATTTGATAAATTTTATTACTTAAGCATTTTAAAATAATGAAATAAAAACTTTATTTTTAAAAATGTCAATAAAATATCGCAAGAGAATGTTGGTAATTAACTATGTTTGCAGAACTTACACTCTGTTGATCCTCAAGAAATCAAAAAAGTATAATACATTGGCAAGATATTTAAAATAAAATCATCATAATAATAAGAAAATGGGGATCCATAAATAAAGCGTTTGAGAACTACCGAAATATTTTGGCATTAGAAATATCTAAATGTTTTTCATTGACTTAAAACAAATCCAAGTACCTTATTCCAAAAGCTCCCCAAAAAAGCTTTTGCTCCACAATGTTCTGGTTGGTTTTTGTCTTTGCTAACCTAGAAAATAAGAAAATATATTGGAATTCAACTTTAATAAAACTTAAGAAGTCCGTTGGGTTTGCTAATTCCCCAAAAATTGTTCAATGTTATTTTAACAATATTTTATTTGGTTAATTGAAAATCAACCATAAATACTTATAAAAGAAAGCGAAGACCAGATATTTAGTGGTTTTGTTTTATTTTTCTGTATATTTCTTTTATAAAGTTACTAAAGTACAAAAATTTGATTCTAAAAAAATAAAAATATGTTTACAATTTGGTTGCTAATTTACAAAAGACCTATGGGAAAAAAGACGTAAAATAACTGGAAGACAACAATTGACGGATTGGACACGCAGCACGTACATAAGTACAATACACTCTAAAGGACTATGGACGTAAGATATGTACCAACTAGGAACACACAAATTATACGAGAAACAGGGGACGAGACGAGACACTAATTACTGAATCTAAGACAATTATTGCTTTCCAGTGTAATGGTGGATGGAGATGGGTTCTGGGTTACAAATTCGATTGGGTTCTACGGGTTGAAGGGCTTCTCTTAATCGCCTACCACGCCCACTTGGGGGAGACCTTGTCAAAGTTAAACTCATCGGGATGTCCCTCGTGGCCACCGCCCGCCTCCACGGGACTCATTTCGGACCATCTGAAGGGTCCGCTGCCAATCTTTCGCATGGCAATGGCCCTCATATCATTTCGCACAGGTCGGCGTTCCGTAATAAGTTCCATTTCCGCCAGACTGTCTGCATCCTCGATGCTCACGCTTAATCGTTCATCACCCAAGGCGGCGGCGGGCGGAAGTCCTTCGTGACCCTCATCCTCCAGAGCCCGTGGCTGGACATGTTGAATCCGCAGGAAGATGGGCCCCGCGAAGGCATGGAAATCGCTCTGGGCCAAACGAGCGTTGTAGGAGAACAATTTCAGATCTATGTTGCCATAGGCAATCGACTCCTGGTTGCCAAGCAGATCTCCACGGAAACCATGGCTCCTCAGATACTTCTCCACCGCATTAAGATTCGTCAACTCCTTTTCATCAGCCGCCGACAGATGCTGATCCTCGCTGTAGTTCACACCACTGACCTCCAGGACATTCTTATGATACGGCACTCCATTGGCCAGCCAAGATGAGTTGCCAGGCACCAAAAATCCCTGAGTAACATCCTTCTTGGTTAAAGTTCCAGGCAGTTGCTCAGCAATCCACACCATATCCCTGAGCTGATCGTGACGTTGTTGGATGGCTGTCCTATCCTTCTCGTTAAGAGTCACAGGAGCATCATCGTGCTTATCATCCCCTTCTCGGACATTGTACAGATTGTCCTGGGAGTTGAGCTTGTTCAGATCCACGGTGATCCACTGCTTGGCTCCGGTGATTGGATGCCTGGCCATGGCAGTGGACCAAGTTTGGCGACTCTGCGAAATCCGATTGGCGGCCATCACACGAGCCACCAAAGGAACCATCTTCTTAAGGTCCACCGACTTCCACAGCGCCAGATTCTCATTCTTGATGCCCACACCTCCTACGATTGCATGAAGGTGTCGACCCTTGATCATGTAGAAGTCATCAGTGGATCCCAGAATGCCGGGATAGCCAGTAAAGGTAATATCCACACCGGGCACGGTATTACTCCTTAGCTTTGGCGAGAAGTGGTAGTGGAACTTGTAGCGCTTCTGGATCCTCAACATGGAGGAGTAACTTCCTGCCGTGCTGTGACCAAAGAGCAACTGAAGTGTCTGTGGCGACTGCTCTTCGTGGACAATTTTCGTCAACATGGAGGCACTCGGCAAGAAGAAGTTCTTCTGTTGATCGTTTCCCGATTCCTCAATACCTGCCGTATTGTTGGGCAACACATAGTTCTCGTAGTAGATCTTCAGATCCTGGATATCTGCAGCGGCATTCATCAGCAGGAAATCAGAAAATGGTATCTCCTCCTCTAGTTCGGAACGTGCTCGGGATGCTCCACGCTTGTAGCCCGTTTCCAGACCCTCCAACTGTAAGATGAACAAGTGCAATTGATGCCAGTAGTGATCATTTTCAGCCTTTTCCGTCTGATTTTTCAAGCGATTGTAGTTGGTGGTTAGTAGCTCCCTCAGCCAACTGCAGAACTTCTCGGTGCTCTCATCCCGACTGCAGGAAGTGGAAATGGTACTACAAAAATTGGGAATATTTAATATAATCTTAAAGTTTAAAAATAATAATATGTAGGCTTACTTGAACCACTGATTGTAGATGTTCTTCCAAGTCAGCGAACCCTCTAGCATTCCCGCGGCATAGGCCTGCACCCAATCCGGATAAGTTCGCTGCGTCTCCACCTCGATTTGTGCCCATCTACAAAATATTAATAATATATTAATAATGCTTTAAGGCTTAAAAAGAAAAAAAAATTCCCATCTAACTAGGAATTTAATGTTATTTATTGTTTAAAAACACTAACCCATTCTCATAAACCGAATCCTTGTAGCAAATCCTGCCGACACCCGTGGGAATGTTGACCAGATCGTTCTGCTGCTTCCAGTTTTCAATCTGGAAGCCAACCTGCTTGGTCCACAGAGCGGTGGCACAGTAGGTGCCATCGTACTCCGGCCGCTCCATGTATCCAATGAAGAAGGCTCCGATGACCAACAGACCAGCTCCGATAAGGATGTAGGTCCCTATCCGCGTTTTTTGCCACGATGCACCAACGACTTTCAACATTGTGCCGGCCGTAGTAAAGCTGCTGCGATTCGAAGAAGAAAGATACTTCCAAAAACGATCCAAGAATCAGTATTCCAAAGTTCAGATGCCTTTTTATCGAATTTAACCCGAATAATTGTGATCCGCACGGGCGGCGTAGGAGTGTCCAAGGCGGTGGACGATCAGGTGGCCAGTGTGCAGGTGGTTCTGTGGATGGATGTGGATGGTGATGGTGCAGGAGGAGGTGCTAGTCTCGGTGGCCACGCTGTTGAGCGCTCTGGCCGAGTGGTTCATGGGTGGTGCGCTGCTTTCAAGCAGAGATTACAACGGTTTCCAGGTGGTTATGTATGTGGTTAACTATTGACTTTCAGTGGGTTTCGGTTGTTGGCGGTGGGTTTGTGGAGCTTGGCTATGTCTTTTGAGGTTCAATTTGTATCCCTGCAATGGAAAACATCAAATTGATATATTAGAAAACACCTATCAAGAGGTATGACGTATTGATGGAATATTTATTTATGCCATATAACACCCATCCACGTGTGTAAATATTTACTCAATAACTAACAATAATAAACAATTTCAATGATTTGTGTTTTTATTGCCTTTATTACTGCATGCTCATTAAGCGATCGGAATCTTCCAATACGCCCTTGAACCATTTCCAATATTTACACACTTTCCCTAAAGATCCCGTAATCCAAATGTTTATTTCACACTTTCGCTACTTTTCGCAAAGGAATTTCCTTTTTGGCAAATCCCAGGAGAGGTAAACAATCTTAAGCATTTGTAAAACTAATAAATTAATTTTATAGCTCGAATAGTACTTGAGTGGCTGAAATTGCTTTATGGCCAAACAGCAGCCGGGGAAATGGTTAGTGTGCTAAAAAAGATAAGCAGGTGTTCACCTGTTCTACAGATCCGTAGAAAATCTACATAATTAAATAATCCTCATGATCGCAATGGAAAGAAGGCAGAAACAGCGGAAAAGTTTCAATCAGTGTATTTAGATGGTCTTGAGGTTTGTCCTTAGTTAATTAATAAACAACATTATGATTACAAAAAACCAATTGCCATGCATCTATAAATATTACAATTTCAAAGCCAATGCCAGAACATTAAATTTCTTGCACAATCTCTAATGTAAATTGAAAAAACCATTCAAAAATTCCAAATTAAACTTGTACTAGTCGGGGGGTAAACAATATTATTGTGTACATTTGGCACGTGGGGAAAAATTCCAAGCCATATCAAAAGTAACGCAAAACTGTGTTGCTTTGCAAATTTTTGAACAAATCTGAATGGTATTAACATCAATCAGTCAGCAGGCTTATACAATTAAACGTGGAAATTGATGGGTATTCCTAGATTGTTTTCTCTAATTTCATCGTATAATTCTCTGGTCTTTTCAATCTAAAGTAACACAAATATTTATTGAATCGAAATTAGATTGATATTTGGCATGAATTTATTATTATTTGCATGAGAAATTTAATTGCTCTAGCTTATAAAACAACAACAAAATTATTTTGTTTAGAGTCTTACCTTTTGTTTCCCGGGTCCAGGAAGCTGCAATGTCACAAGTCAACCCATTTGAAGAACTGCAATAAATGAAGGTAAATTTTTTGTTTAGTTTGATGTTTAGATTTTCCATAATTAAAAGGCGCCTCTAACTTAAACATTTTCTCAGACATACGGTCAACGTTTTATTAATACATTTCTTTGTTTGTTTTCACAATTGGTCGCGCATCTCGTGATTTGTCTGATTTCTGCCGACAAGAACAGATGAGTCGGGAGTGTCTTTGTTTACTTTGGATTCGATTGGACAACGCTGAGCAGGCGCACGCGCTTATTATTGTTAGCTTATTTGTCATAAAATGTTGATCATGGCAATTACTGGATATTCGATATACGATCGCTAATTGGCTGGTGGTCTTTTTTCAAAATGGGGAAAGCTCGTAACTGAGTTCTTAGAAATCTTATGGGGTTTACATCAACATATCAATAACTACTTCAATAGTTTAATAATCTTATCCCTTATAATTTACAGTACTATAAGTGCCTTTTGGCAAAACCCTTTATCGCCTTAATTGCGATTAATAATCTTATGACTAGGAATTATTTTTATGACAAAGCACATAATTGATTTGACATACAATGGGCTTTAATGAAGTCTGGGAATTATGACACTGAGTCGTTAATATAAATGAATGCGTTAAAAATGTATTCTCCAATAACAGTTCCTTTTTCAAGTATTGGAGTCGTAACATTTTCCACACTTAGGTCGTTTACTGGCATTTCAGTTTAATAACCTGGCAACTCAACTTTGTTTGTATAACAACCTAGTCACTTTATATTTTTAGAAATGCAAATTTTAAATATTTTTGCGACCTCATTTTAATAGCCCTCTTTAACTGAAACAGTTTAAATGCCAAGCAAATCATTCTCAGAACTTATCCTAATGTTGCACACCTGTTTAGAAAGCTTTAAATGAAGTAATTCTTTTGGATATGTGACTAATCATGGGGCGTGAACTATAATGAATGATTTCAAGCCCCAGTGTAAACAATTGAATTGCAAATAACTTGAAGAAAGCCAAAGAAGCAACGAAAATTCTTTCATTTCACTCATTTTCATTTCAGTTCCCTGAGAAAATAAACAGCAATCAAGCTAAAGTGAAAAGAGTCAGCCTCAACACATCAATCGAAGGCATCAATGAAATAAGTTTATATTTTTAAACATATTTAAGGTAATCCATAACAGAATTTAATTGGCTTGCCCTCATGGAAGGCCGCAGTTCTCAACCAGTCTGTCAATAAATATATAGTAACACAACTGACAAGTTCAAAATAAACTTCTACTGACGTAGGGAATTAGCACCATGGCAGAAGCTAAAAACAAACGTGGGATCTAAAATAACTTGAGCATTAAGCTTTGGAAAAGTTGTGAGATCCCACTGACGTCTTTGCAACTCATTTACCTCACTTAACTCGGTTAACGTTATTAACATTATCGCAGTACAAACACAGTTGTTTTGTTTTTAGATACAAATGTATCCACATTAATTCCCATATGCGCTACTGAGCTAGATAGTGATAATGTTTTTAAAGCCCTGACAAAATTATCGTATGCATTTACAACCGTTTGTCAGTTGATCAAGCAAAACTTAGTCAGGGGTAAATAATTTACACATGCCAGACCCGAATCGGTATTAACGTTTTCTGTCGCCATGTGGAAAAATATTGATAAGATTGCCAGCATATTTATTAGTACAATATTTAGATATGCATGTCTAGCTTTTGGCATATTAAGGACGTAAGTTCAATCAGCGGAATTCTATATAGTTCAGTCAGATAAGATAAATCGTATTCAAGTCTCAGCGAATTTTTCCACATTATGAAGGAAATTTCCTCAGAAATGTTCAAATACATTAATGCAAAATTCCATAACTAAAAAAGCAGCCAACTTTTTGTTTTAGTTATTGGGCCATTTACACTTTCTTCATCGATTTGGGAATTTATGAACTTGATAAACACATAAAAACAACCCACTAAATTTTCTTAAAAAACAGAATACACCTACGAATTTTTCCATAACTCATTAGAATCCATATAAATGTAAGCAAAATTAATTTTGTTATTTACTTGATTAGTATTGATTTTTCACTGCTAATGGAATTTTTTGATGGCTAGCCATAATTTCTATTGTTCATCCATTCAAAATATACTAGCTAAGTAAACACTTGAATCCAACCCACATAATGGGAATTTTAGCCCTGTCTACTATATATAATTCCCCAACCAATTCGTAATCTTTCTTAGAATTCCGAGAGCCACATGTGGCATTAAGTGTAAACGTGCCACGTGAGTGATCCAGGAAATAAATACTTTCTGGAGCGAATTGGTAACACAGTTTATTCACTCCCCGATTGTGGGAATCGTTCAATGAATGCCCACGATCCGTCAACGAAGCATAATTTTTCATGGCATTCGATTGAGGTAAAGCGAGAAACTGCCAACTAAGCCGCTGCCACGCGTCGCTATCCAGTTGACAACGCCGCCGATTTGATAAGCCCCATATCCGAGTCAAAGTCTGGAGTGAGGGCCGAGTAAACTGATGCCTGGGCAACTAAGTTGGAAGTCAGCAAAGCAAATGCGCCTGTTTTGTAATGCTAGACAGCGCTGCACTGCGGAAGGCATGCACTGATACGAAAAATATTAGTTATAATTTCGAAAATGATTTACTTAAATGCATCTAATTGTATCTCTCAAATGGGCATCTTGTAACCAGATTGTAAACTCCTTTAATATAAATGTTTCAATGGTTAATTGAAATTGAAATAATATAGATGTAGCCCTTGGCAATATAACAATTCCATAACAAGCAAATAGACTTTAAGCAATATCATCAAAAGCAAATAGTTATTGGTTAGATATTATTAAACAAATAACTTAGTCAAAACCCATAATCCTAGGTTAATTATGGAAAATGAAATACAAATATAATATTATTACCATTATAAAATTGTATTAATCTAAAGATCGATTACATTTTAGATACCTTTCAATTCTGCAACTATTTTCTCGCAGTGCAGATACTTTATCTTTTGTGGGGATTGCACATTTTCGGAATGGAGCCCTTGTCCAGTGTTTAGACTAGTGACAGACAGACAAAACACCAAAGCGCCGCGTCGCGACGTCTGAGACTGGAAGATCCAGAGATCCAGACGGAATGGAATATGGCTCGCACGTGGACGAACGGGTTACTCAATTACAGAAATAGGAATTTACGGGAGTGTCTGAACGGGATGAACAGCCTATAAAGACCCAAAGGCGTAGTATTCCACCAGATACTGCCGTGAGTTCACTCATCTCAGCTGATTCGATCCAGCACGCTCCAATCGAATGACAATCGAGATGCTAACGACTCATACAGCTGATCGCAACTGAGTTGTGAACGATACGCTAAGACTGCTGATTTAATCAGATTAAATATGGCAACAAATGTATATATATATTCGATTAGTTAGGGGCTGGTGCGGAAAATTCTTAATGAATTGTGATAATAAGCGGGGAATGAATAGAATGTTCATAATTTGCGATAGCTTTAAATTCGTGAATAATCCGACATATTAAAAGCAATTTCATTATCCCCGGTGATTTTCTTTTCACTATGCGTTCCCAGGGAAAACGATTTATCGAACCTATGATATAAGCAAATGATATAACTTCCTGTGAGCGTTATGCCCTTTTGATGGGTTTGACTTTACATAAGAACCTCATTATTTGTATGAATACATTTGTAAATATTTCACAGGAATTTTGTTTCGTTTGTTGAGCTTAACTTTTTATAGTTGTCTATTAACAATATCTTTGCCTTATTCCTCCCTTTTTGCATGATTCCTCCCCCTGAATTTTGTTTTCCTTTGTCATTGCGTAGTTCTATTTTATTGCTTAAATGTCAATGGCACAAAAAGTCAACGAATTATAATATAATTCTTGGGAGCTCTCAAAAACTAATCAGTTCACTACATCTAATGCAAGCGAAACCGGTTATTTTTGGGGAATACCACGGTTGATAAGTTCGTTTGCCCCTTTTGAAGAGTCACTTACCAAATTCTATGTTGCTTTCGAATTAACTGCAATTATCTGGAAATTCTTGGGGACTGCGACTTAATTTGTATTAAAATTGTTTGTATGCCCCGTAAACCGGAAAAATCTGCACTGAATAAGTATCTTAAAGATTCAGCGGAATCTCCTTTACGTCAATCTCTTAGACCGATCGCCCTGTATCTGTTTGGATCGTGCGAATGCCTTGACGTTGCCACCGAAACTGGCGGTGCTTTTTCGACACTCGGGTTTTCGTCTTTCGGTTCTCGGGTTTTTCTAGCCACTCGACGAAGGCGGGAAAATCGTGCGAAATTTTCATACCCGCTAACAGAAAAGTTCACGGGTATGTGCCATTTTATAAGAAGGTGAGCATTTTACATCCTATTTGATAAGTCGCTGAAATTAACTTGATTATCTTAAATAAATATATTAGTAAAATGTCATTATTGTTCTAAATTTTGAGATATGACACTACTTGATTACTCACTGTATAAACAAAACATGATTATTAAAAGGGTATTTACCAGCCACAATATATCCAAATCATATATTCTTAAAATTTCTTTATCGTCGTCAGCTGCTTTTAATATATGGAATATTAATGATACTGTTTAGAAATTCCACAATATGTATTCAAATTAATTTGTGAATTTTCGATTTATGAGATCCCATAAGCAAAATTAGGACAATCCGAGAACTGGGTATTTTATAGTTGGGTAATACGGTCTCATATCTAGCTTCGTCTTTTTGCGATCAAAAGTTATATTGAACTTGGCCGCCATTTTAGAGGAAGGATTTGGTTGTGTTCTCTTCGGATTGACAGGTGTAATACGCGCTATATGACCAGCAATGCAGTTATCTTAACCGAAAAACTGCAATCGGAGGTCGGAGAACGTGAGGTTTCGGGTTAATTCAGCAAGGTTTCTTCGGTCAGATTTATTTATGGCCTTAATGGCTGATTTATTTGCGCAATATGCACTTGTCCATGCAAACTGCTAACTGACAGGCAATCGAGTTTCCGCTTGGCTACAGTTTTACAATTGAAATTGACATTTAATTGAGCCGCATTTCAGTGCGCAATTGAAAATGGTTTTCCCATGAAAACTGTCGGGCACTCTGCTTCCTCTCTTTCATTGGTCTCACAATACTTTCTAGTGCATTTCACTTTCTTTGCTCGAAAAATTGATAAGAGTCTGTTTTGGGGTCAATCAAAATTCTTGGGGGCTTGCTCTCAATTGAATTGAATTGAAATGGCGACATTTTTACTTGAACATGAAACACACAGACGTTCACATAACTAGAGGGTAAATCGAATGGCGTGGGATAACCTTGATTAATCTATATATCTCTGTGTTTTCCTAAGCAATTTTATTGACAAATGTCGGTCAGTATCAAACAAAGCTCTTAGTGATCGCTATGAGAAAAAGAAAGGGAGATTTATAAGAGTCTAAAGAGCCTGCTTATGTGTTCCCCTTATTCATACTGATTCATCTTCCTGCTTTCCTGTTCTCCTTCTTCTTCTACTGTCTGCATTCCATGTTGTGCTTATATACAGTCAAACTTCTTTAATTTAAACTTTTCTAGAACTAACTTTATTAATTGAATTTTTAAAGCAGCAAGATTTTGTTGATGTCTGAATGGAAAATATGTTTAGCATTATATTTGGTTTTTTAATTAAATTAATATTTAGCATGACATTTTTTATATGCAAGTGCTCTGTAAGTGATAGTCTCTTAAGAAATCCCTGAAAGTTCAAAGCTGCATGCGAATCTTCACTGTATACCAAGCCAGTAAGGACAAGAACCTCAAGGATTTTGACCTCATTTGTCTGGGGCTATGGGAATATGAGAATGTGAGCAGGAGCTGCCAGGCCGCCTGGCAACTTCTCGGAAAGACCTGCCCCTCTGCTTGCTTTAATAGTTTTTATTGCCTTTTATTTGTTTGCTCAAGACGAAGAGACTGCGAAGAACATTCATTGAAATAAGCCGCGCATGCCCAGTGGAACAAAGACAAAAACTTGTTGCTAGGCTGGAAGAAAACTCCCCTCTGCCCGGCGATCGTTATTAGGGTAACTTGAGAAGTTTTGTCTTGGATTTTTTTTTGCGGAGTTTGTATTCTAGGCCATTGGCTTTTTATGTTGAACTCTTACTTTTGTTCATGCGAACAAAAACGTACTTGTTCGCAAGGTTTTCATTTTTGTGGAGGTTTACTTTTCAATGAACTTGTTTTAAACTTTGCTTAGTGGCCAAACCGAACTGCTCAGGGGTAAAGCTTGAACTAAACTGCCACAGATTTAATGTGTTTGGATTGCCCACATCTCCTCTCGTGCAAAAAGAGTTATCTACTGGAGATAAAGTTGATGTTTCAGCGGAAAAGACACTAAAACAGTCGGACAATCTACGTAAATACGTCAAGTACGATGTATTTTTGGACGCCCTATGTCTTACTTTTTATATGACATGTTTATTTGGCAAACTTCCACTAGAAGTTCAGCAAATAGATCGCGTGGAGTACTGTTTACAGGATCTTCACCCATGTCAACAATCTGCTCGACACTCATGTGATCTCCTACGATTCCGCATGGACAGATACCGAAATTATATGTGCAACTTGTTATTTAACGGATGACTCAACTTCGGGGTAAAGTCTAGTCGATAACCGATAGCGAAGTCATTCGCGGAACTTAATCAGAGGGCCTGAAGAGACGACATGTGCTAAGTATAGGCGACACCATGGGTATTTCCCCTGTGAACTTAGATAAGGGTGCAGGAAACATTAAAAACGTTTCGAATGTAAAAAAAAACAACTCAAAAATGATTTATAACTTTTTTGCTTAAATCTAATGTTTGGACACTTTATTTAAATTAACTTTAGAAAATCCGCTGAATGTCGATAAGAGTATAGTAATCAAGCGAAATATTTATATCATTTAAGAAATTGGGGAGACATATAAGTATTGAAAAAAAATAATTAAAATATATTCTTTAAAAATCATTAAAAATTGGATATATTTTTCCTACAACAACCATTAAAAATAGCCCAAATAATATTTAATGACGCTATTCATGTTAATTTTAGATCACAGAGTGCTGTGAAAAAACACATTTAATTTTAGACAACATGAAACATGAAAAAATATTAAGTATTTACCCACATATGTAGATGTAAAATATATTTATAATGTCTCACACAATCTATTCATAATATAAGATCAACACAAAAGAACGTTACTAAGATCATCAAGTTTATACAATGTATGTGTCAAACTAAGATTGAACGAATTTATATATGAATAATTCTAAATTTTCCTTTTGAATATGAACTATTTTATTAAAGTGAAACGAACACCCCTGGTGGTTCAACAAATGTCACTCAAAGGATAGACACCCCTATTGCACATCATCTTTCGGTCCCCGAACCCCAGATAATCCTCACTCGTCTACCTTCTATTGATTCGAAAAAACCCCAGACAATCGCAATATGTTGACCCTATTTTTGTCGGTAAACAGATATTGCGACGCGTTCCTGATTTTCGCATTGGCATTTCGAGGCCAAAATTGATACAATGGTACTGTTTTCACTAACAGTTAACACTTAACACCCGAGTTCAGCACTTTTCCGCCGATTCGGATTCAGAATGAGATCGAGAGCGAGGACAACTCACCGGAAAATTGAAATGGCTCGTGACTCAGGCAAATTCCGCGCTGACAAATGAGAGAAATTCGCTGGGGTATTCAGATGATTGGGGGGCACTATTTGTTGGATCGCTGCTGTATTCAGCCACTGCGAAATTGGCTTTAACACGATATTGCTATATAGTCACACAACGATTTCGTGTTAATTATCCATGAAGGGCTACATTGGAAACGCACAGAGTAAGGTGTATATAACTTTTTCCGGATTTCACTCTCTATTCGATTGGTTTATTAGCTCTTCGTGAGAACTAACGCACGTTTATTTCGATTAAAACAGTTGTGTCACTTCAGATCATTGGAATGGTTGGGATTGTTGCCATGCGGAGCGATATGTAATGGGCTGCTCGAGCGTTTTATGGGAGAGTTTTGTAGAACGCGAGAACGTGGCGTTTTTATTTTGTTTTAATTATTTAAACTGAGCGCCTCCCGATACTCTTATTTTTTGTTTGTAGTACGTATTTTTAGCGTCGGCAATTGCACATCCAAGTGAAATTGAAAAGATAACAACGAAGTAAAACTCAAGTTGAACACGCAACACAGATCACAGCGTATTAAAACGATTTTCCTTCCGTTTCGACGATTCGCAGAGGAGAGACTGATACTGTGGGTCTGCGACCGAAGAGTTTTACGATCGCCGGACTCCGTAGGTTTTCACTCGACTCGAGAGAAGAGGGCGGTTATTGGCTCGGTCTGTCGACAGAAAGTACGAGACCAACCACTCAACTACACCAGGCTACAAATCCACTAATAAAAACCTAAAGTTGGCTAAACTGTTCTCCACCTTTTAGAAAGGTCCCAAAACCAATTAAACAATATACATTTATTGCAAATGAACATAAGACTTACCGGTTTAAATAATACAAGACAAAGTAGCGAATACATTATTAAAAATTGCACCACTTTCAAAAGGTTGTACCTTTCTAGTAAATTTTTTAATGTATCCGCTACTTTGTATTGTATTACATAAAAATGTAAGTTATAAAGATTATTAATAAGCTGTAATAATATTTAGATTATAATGAAATTACCAAATATTAGCTCAACCTAATGCTGAAGATATTTTATTTAATAAACTTAAATAAATATAATTATTCTTGCACAGCTCTAAAAAATTTAGATGACTCTTATCAGAAAACTGTTTTTTTTCTTGTAGCCCAGTGCTCGACTCTCTTTTTTTACGCTCAATTATCAGCGGTGAGTGAATAATCTCACCTTGCTCTCTACAAATCTCCCTGATTTTTTTCACTCTGATCTTTCCCACTTGGCAACGGTATTTTCTCTCGCACTTTGCGAATTGATTCAATGTGCATATGTTAATTGAACTGTAATTCGTGACGTCTTACGGCGATACCGCTATCGGTTTTCGAGTGGAACTCCTCCTCTCAAACCGTATCTTCCAACCAAACGGGCAAACAAAACGTGCAGCGATAAAGCCCAAGTGATATGGCGGAAATGCCTTCAGCCTGATTAATTTGGCCACCGTAAATGCGGCAGGCGCGGAATTAGCACTAAGTCGTGCATAAATAGTAGAAAATATACAGCTTGGATTTCTTATCGAGGGGTTACCTGAACAAACAACCGCATCCCATGCAGGTGAAATGAGTAATCAGCCACCGAAATAACTCCGGAGCGGAAAGAATTTGAGAAAATCGAACGGTTGGCAGTTGAACAACAATAAAATAAAGAAGAAAGGACCTTTAGCTTATGAAATGTTCTTTATCCGTCGAGTCCAGGCATTTGCAATACCTAATATGTTAATAAGAAAGATTATTGGGTTTACTTTTAATTTTAATCAGCGCAACACAAATTCAAAATATTTTTTGACGACTAAAAAAGTAGCGCTGTTTTTAAGAACCTTTCTGAGCCTTTTCTTGTATGAGAACTTTGTCACTTTCTTGCCAGCTGGTTCCATAGTGTAGCGGTTATCACGTCTGCTTTACACGCAGAAGGTCTCCGGTTCGATCCCGGATGGAACCAGGAGGAAATCAATTTTTTATTTAATTATTTTTTTTATTAAATAGTTTTTTTTATTTGGTTATTAAATCGTTTATTTCTCATACTATACCAAAGGCTTAAATAACTCTTAATATGGTTTGGAACAATCTTAGAACAATTCACATAACTTATAAAACAATAAAAAATACATTTTTGGTGAAATCAGTTTCATTAAATATATTTTTGTTAAATGCTTTCAGAATTACCTATTTTTTTTTAAAGGATAATAAAGTTAAAAAAAAGCTTAAGGAAAGAGAGATGGGAGAGATAGTACAGATTTGCATTATTTTGTATTAGAACAGGATCATATTATACCATATTACAAAAAATGTATTCAATAAATAAAAAAAAAAGATCTTTAAATCCACTTGGTTCCATCCGGGATCGAACCGGAGACCTTCTGCGTGTAAAGCAGACGTGATAACCGCTACACTATGGAACCAGTTGTGTCGACATCGTCTAAATTTCAGTTTTCTCCAGCGAAGGGATAAAATCCATAGCCTGCTTTGGGGCTGTCAAAAAAAAACCAAAGCAAAAAAAATGATATGGAATAATTAAAATCAACCAACATTAAATGACTTTCAATTTTAAGCCGTAGAAATAAAATATTAAAATTGTATTAATAAAATAAATACAAAGGTTTTTGTGAGTATCGTAATATTTTTATTTAAAAGCAAAGAGCACATCAATAATACCTTGTGTTTTTTTGTGCCTATTCGAGTAAAATCTTGTTGCTACTTAGTAATTAGTTTTATAAAATAAGTATAAGTTAAAAATTAAAATTACAAACACAGTTGTAAATGTATTGCACCGTTTTTCAACCTAAAAAGTATGTCCTAAGCAGTAAATCAACAAAAACAAAGGGCTAACAAAAGGGAAATTTACTGGGCAAATGAACTTGAGGCTGTAGAAACTCAGGACTAGCAGGAGATGAAACAAGAACTGGACGCGCAGACCGCTGAGAAGGTGCAGCTGGACTAGCACTCGATTGCCCGGCCAAAATTCCATTCAGTATCGCCTGGCTGTTGTGGGTCTGGGAACCCCCGAAGTCCTTGGCCTGGCGGATTTGGATCGCAGGGGATTGGACACCCCATCGGTGTTGTAGCTGAGGTAAACATGCGAAAGATCCAGGAAATCGGGTTCCTTGCCACTCGACTTGTGAGCCGAGATGTGTTTTCTCATATTGTTTCCCGTATAGGCAACACATTTCAGTTGCCACTCCCCGATGTCCTCGTTCCAGTGGGTATACTGATTAATCATCGACTGGTACTCCTTGGGAACATACGAATTCAATACCAGCTCGCACAAGGCTAGTTCCCTGGATAGGCTTCTGATATTCTCGTAGATTCCCTCCTTCTCCCGCTGGTGTTCCTGCTGCTGATCTGCCAGCTCCGATTTCACACCCATCAACATCTGCATCACCCGATGAATCTTTTTGGTAATGCCAGTACTGGCATCCTGGAGCGTGGAATAGCGCTCTTCAATGTCAATCCTTTCGGTGGCCTTTTGCTGAAGGGTTTGCTTGAGTGCCTCCTCGGATTTCTCATGTTGTTCCAGTTCCGCAATGGACTGCTCTAGTAACATCTCTTGGGTCTGAGCCTTCTCTAGAAGATTCTCCCCGCCCACGAGGATTTTTCCTTCCAAAGAGACCAGTTTATTTCGAAGAGTTTCCTGCTCCGTTTTAGCATGCTCGATTTCCTTCTGATGTTCGTTTTTACGCTGAGCCAGTTCCTCTTTCTCGGCATCGGTTTTCTCTCGCTTCTTCTTCGGTTTCTTCTCCACAGCTTGGACGGTGGAACTCTCCATTTCGATCTCCAGTGGGGCCTCTAGCTCATCATCGGCTGTATCCTCCTCCTCTTCGGAGCTTGGCGGCTCCTCCTCCAAGCTGCTGCCCTCCTCCAATTGCTTTCGGAGACGAGCAATCTCCTCCTGAAAGTGACGGAGCAATGCATCCTTGGGTTCCTCATTGATGTGCATGCGATTTTGGATATTCTTAGCACGACTAGCATAGCGCAGGGTGGATATGGTTTCCATATAGTTGCTATCCGCTGGACTAATGGTGGCACACATCACGGTCTTGGAGTTTCCTCCCAGCGAATCCTGAAGAAGTCGGGTTAGTTTAGAGTTCCTGTATGGGATGTGAGTACTCTTTCCATCCACCAAAGCACTGATGACATTACCCAGCACCGAAAGCGACAGATTGATCTTGGTGGCTTCCTTGAGTCTCTGTCCACTAGCCTGGGTCTTGGACTGCCTCTCGGAGCCGGCAAGATCCACCAGCTGTAGTTTACCCATCCGTACGTGTTGGGCACCTCCTTCACCCAGTTCGCTCCTCTCCACAGTTATGGAGAAAATGGCATGGGATCTCGAGCTCTCCTCATTCATTTTGGTGGCTCCCACAGCACGGTTTTTGTTTCCCAATCGCATAATGTTCTCCAGATCATCGGCATTGTGCACTACATAACCACTGAGATCCTTGACAAAGACCCCTATATCGGGTCTCTCCTTGACTTCCAGACTCTTGCCCACATCCTTGCCCAGCAGATCCCGCACCTCTTCGTTGTATATCTCCATATAGCTGACTCGCACCAGGAACTTTTGGTTTTCCTTGGCCTTGGCGATATGCCCGAATATGTGGGCAAAGGCGTTGGGAATTATGCCCTTTGTCTGCGGGGAATCGGGATTCCCGGACATGGTATAGGTTTTTCCAGTGCCCGTTTGTCCATAAGCCAAAATGGTGCCATTGTAGCCCTCCAGAACCTTATCCACAATGGGACGTGCTGTGTCCACATAGAGATCCATTTGATTGGAGCCGCCATCGAAAACGTTATCAAAATAGTAGGTTTTTGGTGGTTCATTGGCCGTGGGATTGGGCTTCATCACCGTAATGGCCCGGTTGATTTTATCAACCGAAATCGCACTTAGCGCTCCGGCAGACAATTCGTTTTTATCCATGGGCCGAGTTCGCACCACCACACGCACATTCTCGATTTCGCCATCGAATTGTTGGGCCGTTGTCCCCGTATTTCCCTCTTCCTGCGGCATTGTGATTTAGATCCTGGTTCTCTCCGCCTAATTCCCTATCCACGCAGAACAATTATCCACTTTTTGCGCTGGCCGCACTTAATGGAGATCGATATTTAGGGTTTTTCTTCGCATTTGTTTATGCGTTGCTAGGTTTTTTTTTGCGAATGATTTAACGACGGGTAGTCAGCTGTTATCGATAAGTGGGCAAGTGCGAAAACCGACTTATCAGAAGAAGAAAAAACGGGCGAGAGGGATGCCAGATCTGCTGGAAAAGGTATTCATCGTTTAAACGTTCTAATTGGAAAATACCAAAGTATTGGATTTTAAAACAGTAAAAAGTATAAAATATTTGTATGTCCGTAAGCACATAAAAAAAATATTCATCTAGATATTATGAGTACCATCTTAATTTACTTTTTAATGAATTGTAGTTCTATTTTCTGACAAATAATTTTTTTATAAAGACCGTAAAAATATTTAGGAAAGTATAAACAAAATAAAAATGTTAACAGAGTTCATAATGCCCATAAAGTTGTGCTAAGTTTATTGACGTTTGGCATAGCCGCATTGCAAAACTTTCAATGATATCAACAAGTGATTGCAAAATAAAAAAACTATGCTAACAGGTAGTTCTAGTTGGATTAGTTGGATTGGTTTTGACTTTACTTAATAGATGATGGAATAGAATTTTAAAGATGGCAAACTATCTGTAAAATACAATCTATTTTTTTATATCTTGTTTTTTTATCCTGCTAAATCAACTGTATTAACAACCAATGAAACCTATTAAACAAGTTTTTATGATACTAATTAATAAAATCATAATTCACACAAGAATTGTGTAAATAAATATGACAAACTTAATGAAAATTTTAAAAATTATTGAATATTTTTTTAATAATGGCATAAGTCTAAAAAATACCAACTATCGACGCCAATGGACGAGTGGAAAAGAGAGCGGGCGAGTAAACATCTGCCCACCACCTCCGCGATAAAGAGAGAGCTCCGAAGAAGAGGAAGACGTTGTGCCAGTGGAACTGAAAGATTCGATTGGCGATTGGCTGCCCGCAGAGTTTCCTTTACACGACCAGACGACGCAGAAATTAAAACTCCGGCCACCATGGCAGCGACATTGCGACGATTCCATGGCTTGAGATTGCTGAAATCCGCGCCAGCACTCAACCTGCAGCAGGTAAAAATCGGGAGCCACCGAAGCCAAATTTTCCACAGACTCATCAGCACCACCTCGAAGAAGTCGTGTCAAATGGCGAAAAACCGCAAAAAATACAACTCCATCGGATGAAACACAAAGATAAATAGTCAGAAACAAACATAAAGTGCCTCTAGTTTGGGATCCCTAATCTTACGGGTCGTTCACTGCAAAGATACGAACCGAACACCCCAATTATGTAACTCCGTGCAAAAAATCGTACTCTCCTTGGCCGACCGAGAGATTTAAATCGTATATTCTCTCCTTGCAGGCGAAGAACCTCTCCTCCGCCGGAAGTTGGGCAAGTGGCAACAAGAAGGTAAGTTTGCGAGTCAGGAATCCCAGATATTCCCCACTTGGCATTTCATAATACCCGACCGGACCTAACCTCAAAACGCGTTTGCTTCTCGGTGACTGTGTGCGGGTGTACGTGTGTGTGCCAAACAGCTGATCGGAGCCGTGGGAGCGATTACCGGTGGAGTTGGTGCCCTCCTCTTCGCACTGGAGCAATCCGTGCAGGCGTCCGGCAGTGAGGTGCACGCCCCCGCACAATCCTGGAACCACAAGGGCCTCTTCGACGCCCTGGATCACCAGAGGTAAGGTATAGCATACCTGAAGTCAGATGCACAGTATCATAATATGGTAAACATAGCAAAACAAATTTTGGGAATATGTTTAGAAATGATAGTTTTACTAAAATTGCTTAGCACTTAATATATAGATAGATAAATGACGAAACAAACAGTTCAATATTTTTTAAATTTAAAACAAAATTGTAATAACATGGCTGGATTTTCTAATCTTTAAAATCTGGTAGTATCTGGTAGTATTATTAGTAATTAATATAAAACTGTATACATATATTATTAATAAAAGGTCATTTTAATAACAAGGTAAATTAATTAGCACAGTAACAAAACCACTCAATATTAAATAAAATAGAATATAGATTTAAAATTTTTTTTATTCTTAAGTGTGCCTGAGTTAAAACCAATTAAAAAGAAAAAATAGGTAATCAATTTTCGTAGAAAATATAGGCAAATTATCTTTTTCCTCAACTAAGGACCTTTAAATATTAAAAATTATATGCTAAAATGGTTTTATATTTTTAGCGTTCGTCGTGGCTACGAGGTGTACAAGCAGGTGTGCTCCGCCTGCCACTCTATGCAATACATTGCCTACCGCAATCTGGTTGGTGTCAGCCACACCGAAGCCGAGGCCAAGGCTGAAGCCGAGCAGATCACGGTAAGTCCTTTCAAAAGTACCTTGATCAATATGATTTTTAATTGATTTGCATACCCCCAAAACAGGTCAAGGACGGTCCCGATGACACCGGTAACTACTACACCCGTCCCGGCAAGCTGTCGGATTACTTCCCGTCGCCTTATCCCAACGAGGAGGCGGCCCGTGCTGCCAACAACGGTGCTTATCCTCCGGATCTGAGCTACATCGTGTCAGCCCGCAAGGGCGGAGAGGATTACATCTTCTCGCTGCTCACGGGCTACCACGATGCTCCTGCCGGAGTCGTGCTGCGCGAGGGCCAGTACTTCAACCCGTACTTCCCGGGCGGTGCCATTTCCATGGCCCAGGTGTTGTACAACGAGGTGGGTTGTCTATCAAATAACTAAACCGCTCACATAGTTTCTCGAATTTTGATTTCGATGTTAAATTGAAAAACTTGATAGGTTTAAAATTTTAAACAATTTAAAACCAAACAAATCAAATGGTTAACGCGCTTTAAAAGATTGTCGTTAAGAAAGCTCACCCCACCTTCATAAATTAATAAGGATGAAATGCTGTCCTACTTCAGTTATAAAGTTAAGTCGAATTTAAATCCCCATTCAGATATAAAAAAAAGATACTTATTTTCAATAAGAGACAGATATTTATAACAAAATTTGTTGAATGGCATGAAGAATCGTTTAATAGAATTATGGGCAATTTTTTGCTCACTAGATGTTTTGGAAGATTGTCGTTAAGTTGCAAAATTTAAAGATTATTGCTGTCAGAAAAAATATCTGGTCAATCCAAATCTATCCTAGAATATAACTAGAAATCAAAATAAGGACGTGATTTGAAATAAGTCGAAAAAAATTGTCATATTTTAATGAATATATCCCATTTCAGGTGATTGAGTACGAGGACGGCACACCGCCGACACAGAGTCAGCTCGCCAAGGATGTGGCCACTTTCCTGAAGTGGACCTCCGAGCCGGAGCACGATGACCGCAAGCAGCTGCTGATCAAGGTGATCGGCATCCTCGGCTTCCTGACCGTCATCTCGTATTACATTAAGCGACACAAGTGGTCATCGCTCAAGTCGCGAAAGATCGTGTTCGTGCCCAAGGAGAAGTAGAATGTTTGAATTTGATTTTGATGGTGTGAAGAATTGCAGTGTTATCGCGGCTTTATCGACTAATAAAGATAAATCAATTTTAAGCAAAACCAAAACACACATAAAACAGCATCAGAAACTACCAAGTCAATGTTCTCTCTACACGAAGAAATAAACACAAAATCTAATTTGAGAGAGCCAACAATACGATCCAAATAAAACTAGCTAAATCTATAAACCTTGGGTATGCCAATACCAAACGAAGAAGATCGGAGAATGAAATGCAATGAGAGGGGGATTAAAGCTAAAGAAACTACCAGATATAACATTGATTGTGTATAACATGGATAATTCAATTATGTATTTAAAAAAATAAACAATTGACAAAAAAATGGAAATGATTATTAAGAAATCATTCCAAAGAGGCGGGAATGGGAAACTTTGAGTTAATTTGAAGGCGGAAGTCGTATATTTGGGGAATATTTAGAAGATACTTCAGTTCTTTGAATGGAGCCTTAGCTTTTTATCTGAGTTGCTAATCGGTGAATAGGTACAAAACTATTGGCATCACTTCAGAAAATATGTATTATATCTTGAATAATAAAGATTAATTTGCATGTTCAAAAAAGCTAAATTTATTCCATAAATATTAAGAACTAATGTTTTTATGATCATTAAAAATGAATATGATATATTAAATTCTTTACTTATTTTGATTAGTTTATATTTTTTCAAGTTCTCTGTTTTCACCATTTTGAATTTTCTTCTTCAATTACAAAATAGTTTAATTTATTTAAATTTGTCCAGTCGCAATTAAAACTCAATCCCATAATTTTCTTTGCAATATAAACAAATGGTTAATACGCTTACCAATACATGTTTTCCGGCATCAATCTTCATCAGTTATCAATTTAGAGAGCTTCTTGATTTGTTTTAGCCTTTGCCAATTGTATAACCTGGGGTTTTCTACATTTCAAGGGGTAAAGTTGATCTGTAAATTTTATGGAGAGGCTGAATTAGATTTAAGATTAAGAAATACGTTTCGGAAGATCTGTCGTTATTTAAAGGAAATTTTCATTGTTGACTTCCCATAAGTGACGACCAATCCTGTCCACTTTAATACTTTTTATTGGATTAATTGTTTTATTTAGAAGCTTAAAGTAAAGTATTATTTTAATCATCGTTCATCATTCTGTCCGCTCGATTTCCTCATCGGCTTAGTGTGTGTGTGTGTTTCTATATATATCTATAATTTCCACTTTCAATGATTATAAATCGCGTCTCTCGTCCCAAGCAATTCGGGAGGAAGATATCAAAAAAAATTAAAAAATGAACTAAAAAATCGCTTCTTCAATAAAAAATACTTTCGTACTGGCGCCGTCTACAAAAATGCTCTTCGACATGTTGTTCTTTGTTTTATTAAAATTAATATATATTTTGCTTTATGTATATAATTAATAAATTTTTAGTTTAGGCAAAAAACAATAATTACGCTTCTCTTTTCAAAGAACTCGACTCTTATGTTGTGATCTCATTTAATCTTTATAATTTTCATACTTTACTTTTCTGTTCGATTAGATTATGGATTTTGTTGCTGGGTTTAAATTATGAACTGATTTTTCGCATCTTTTTCATAGGCGTTTACTTGTTGCTTTCGCTGCTGTTTTATTTCTTATATAAGAAGTTGTTGGTTGGGACTGAAGTAGAAGTAAAGTAACCAAACACGATGACATAGTTCATGACGGAAGGGACGACGACGACCTTTTCATAGTGACGCTTCTATCGCATTTTTCGCTGCTGTTCCCTTTACTTATAGTATAGCTTGCATTTGGTTGTTGATGTTTCCACAATAACCGCACTCGATTTTTATTACGTTCATTATAATCATTCGCTGCCGCCACAGCAACTCGAAGGAACAGCACTACACAATATCTTCCACGAATGTGTGACCTTGGTCTTGGACTTGGACTGATGGGATTTTCCTGCTATTACTGAATAGAGTGTGGATGCTGCTCCCGCTGAAGTTGCAGTCAGAGCTGCTGCAGCTGCTGCTGGTGTTGCTAACGGATGTTTGTCGACTAAAAACAGCTTCCTTCTGGCGGCTGTGCCAGCTTCAGGTTCTCTTTCATGGTCATAATCCTACGGATTTCCTGCAGCATCGTTTTTATAGTGTATTCACGACTCCACCTGGCCAACATCTGAACTGATCTATGATCAACCTGTGGGAATTTTAGTAGGACCATTAGCAATCGTAGTCGTATAATATGCAATCGCATTGTTTCTACTCACCACTCCATTGTTCTGGTTAATGCAGTTAATGTTTACTTTAGTTAAAAACCTGAGCGTCGGTGGCTCATCCGGATAACGTTCGCCGCACTCGATCTTTAGTGAATACATTCGATTTTCGAACGGTGTCTGTAAGCACAAGAATTTGCAATTACCATTTAATAAGCCTCGATTGATTATACACTAAATACTATGTGCAATTAGGGCCAGAATGTCGATGAGTCAGGTACCCATTCCCATCTGCGTTCTATTTTCTACTGCCACTGCAACTAAAGCCATGATGGGGTTCCGTTTGGAGACCCTTCCACCCTAACTCCTCAATGATTCATGCGGCGGCGCGCGCAACACTCCTAGACTATACAAAAAATAAATGCAAATTTAGTTTTCTTCTCGGGTTTCTTGGAAGTAATTAAGGGAAAAAGCGATTTTCTTAGAAAACCATAATCTATGAATTTTCGTTGAGGGCATAAATATATCTTTTCTTGAATAGGCTTAAAAAATATAAAATAAATACACGAATCCTAAAGTGCATGTTTACTTTGCCAATCAATCTTATAAGTGGCATTCAAATTGTTATAACCACAAATTTTTCTTAAAGCAACAAACTCCCCTGTTATATTTTATTTCTTTATTAAACTATGACATATTATCATCATTTAATCATTTATAAAATTTCACGACTGTAATTACAATCGTGGCTCGAAAGATATGCAGGTCAACTTACTTAGCAAAGGCAATAACTTCTAAAGCTAATTCCCAATGAGTTGCATGAGCCTGCTAATCAAATGCAAATATTGCTAACTTTCCATCTCTCTAGCCAAACAAAACCCACTTAAGATACGAAGTGCTCGAGTGCTACCCCATAATCATCATTTTACGCAACCCTGGCGATAAAATGTCAATAATCCTACCAAAATTGTTGATAAATCGCACTTATCTAGTGACGTAGCCAACAGAAATGTGAGGAAAGTGCTGCAATAAGCCATATACTACTTCAATATGCATGGAAACTTACTCTAGGCGGACCGATGATCATGCCGATCCAGTAAGTGAGCGTCATGTCGTCGTCGTTCTCCAATCCCCACGATATGGTGCCATCGCCCACGCCCTTCTGGCCCTGATCCAGCTCCTCCAATAAGCGGAAATTTCGTGGCACCACTGCAATGTGAAAAACAAAGAGGTGAGAACTCGATGACATAATGCATTTTTACTGAAAACTTTAATGTTTAATTACTGTCATTAGGCTTGTTGACAACATGTTTTTGCTACTCTAAGAAAAACCACAATATCAGTAAATATTTGTACTATGTGTTATATCAATATAATCTGTGTCATAGCGCAATAAATATAAATATAATACATAATCGCGCAATTATTTGATGTGAAAAATATAAATGTGAAACGGCTTATACATTTTTTATTTGCTACTATTTATTATTATTCACAAGCATTCTTAAAAGTACAAAGCAATAATTAAAAAAACACTAATATTGAAAGCAATAAAATTATTGGAGGGTTTTAGCTTATAAGTATAAGACTTTAAGCTTGTGTTATTCTGATATTTTTATTTTATTCAAATTACTCCATTAGTTCTGTTCACGATTAAAATGAAAGAATTTCCTTTCGGTTTTAGTGACGTTTACCATTAGAGTAGGGTCATACTGGCAATATTATTCTCTGATTGGGTTTTTTATTTATGCCTTTATCACTTTTTATCACTTTGCCCTAGTCGAAGGTAAAAATATAGAGACTGATATTTTAAAGTGAAATAATACAATGTACCGAGTTGTTGTACACACATAGCGATATTTTTTTCCCAGTGTGGGGTCATATGGGTACGTGTTGTTGTTTGTGCTTTGCGTCTTGTGTTGTTTTTGTTTTCGCCCGTGTGACTTTGCACGCATTTTCGTGCAGAGAACAAAAAAGTGCGAAGAGAAGAATTTAAAAACTCTGGGTGCGGGGAGGGTGTGTCGGCGGGGGACGGCAAGAAACATAATTTCTGCATTTGCAAAAACAATCCAAGCCAATGTAATTTGCAGCTAATTTAATTAGAAAAGAAGGCAGCTTGCAAAACGCACGCAAAACGCAAGTGTGCAAAAAAAAACTCAAAAGTATGAGGGCAAGAAGAAGCGATTGCGAGTGAGCGAGAGAGAAAGATGCAGGGGGTGGTGGAGCGGGCGATATTTCGGAAAATGTCAAGTCACGAAACGAAATTGCAACGGAGTTTTTTTCAAAGGAAAAGCGGGCAGAGAAAATTGCAAGAGCGGCGTGGCCCGCTAGCAAAAAAATATCCATTCGCTTTTATCGGCTTTCTTTCGTCTTTCGCCCTTGCTTTCGTCTTCTTTTTCCCCGTTTTTCACACACACACACATTGCGGTTCGCTTTTCGGGCTCGTTGCGGCGGAAAAATCGACGCCGGGCAGCGGGAATTGAGGAAAATGGATTGCCAATACATGCGGGCAGGTGCGGATCCCGTTTATAAGCTGGCAAATCGTTAATTTATCAATTTTAATTCTTACCAACGCCGGTACTTGATGTATTCGCCATTGTGGTTAATAGTGTGACCGCGGCAAAGTCAAAGAAACGGTGTGACCACGGAAGAGCCAAACAAATATACCGTTTCGCTCTCAATAAAGACTTTTTCTGCCATTTTCAAATATACTATTAATTAATCTGAGCTTCCAACCAGAAATGTAGGATAGTAGGTGTTTTTAGGTGGGAGAGCAAAATAGCTGTCTTATTAACGACCATTGAGCAATTTGTTAATTTTTTTTTAATTCCTGCGTGGAAAATGAGTCTAGAGCGGTTTATTATTTCACAGTTTTGGAATAGCACCTTACATTGAAGTCTTATTGGATTGCCAAAGTCAAAAATACTGATTGGCAAACGTATTTTTTTAATTTGCATGTGGTATTTTTATTATTTACTAATGGATAAAGCATGAGTTGATGTGATCGTTTCCAATATTTTCTTGCAAATTTCTTTATTAAAGCAGAATTTGGACGGTGATATTGATGCATTCTTAACGGGCCTTAAAGGTTTGATAATAATCATGAGTTTAATCATTTATTAATAAGATTCTTGATGTTAGATACATTTATTTTCTAAATTTTCAATCCCCATTAACAACCCACATAGAATATCTCGGAGTGGCTTATGGGCATTTTTGCTCTTATTGATTTTAAAATAATTTTCAAAAATAACACTCGGAGGTGCCAAGGAAACCTACAACAAATTATGGTCTCACCAAAAATACCAGATCACCTGGCAGCTGCTCGTTATCAGCGCTGTTAACTAACATGACAATCTGTTCAATGCAACGCGTCAGCTTTTTAAACAAACCAATTTGGAGCTTGATTAAATATTAATTGGCGAATCCACCGGCTAATTATTATTGCGAAATCGATAGAGGAACCAAAATGGAGAGCCTCTACCACCAAACCAACAATGCGGTGAAGGAAATCGAGCGGGATTTCCAACGGCTGAGTCAACTTAGTCCCCAGGAATCACTTGACGTGGAAAACGGAATACAACTGAAGATTACCCAGGCCAATTCGTGGGTGCTATAAGCATATGTTTCCTTAGATAAAATACCATTAATTAATTATCTTCTATAACCAGTAATTGCGATCGATTGGATGTGCTGCTGTTTAAGGTCCCACCTTCCCAGAGACAAAGTTCCAAACTTCGGGTAGATCAACTTAAATATGACTTGAGACACCTGCAGACATCCCTACAAACCGCCAGGGACCGAAGGCAGCGGAGGATGCAAGAGATCTCGGAAAGGGAACAGCTGCTGAACCACAGATTTACGGCAAACAGCTCCCAACCGGAGGAAACCCGCCTGCAATTGGACTACGAGCTGCAACATCATTCCCAGCTGGGAAACGCCCACCGAGGAGTTGACGACATGATAGCCTCGGGTAGTGGCATTCTCGAGAGCCTAATCTCCCAAAGAATGTCCTTGGGTGGCGCCCACAAACGAATTCAGGCCATAGGCAGTACATTGGGTCTATCCAACCATACAATGAAACTTATAGAACGCCGACTGGTCGAAGATCGTCGGATATTCATTGGCGGCATGGTAGTCACTTTGCTAATCGTTGCCCTGATCATCTACTTCCTAGTGCTCTAAAATCAAGCAGCTTGTTTAGTCGAGTTTAAATTAAATGTACTCTATTTTGTAAATCGTTAAATGCACAATCATGGGGGTGTGTAAATTAGTCATCGCTCTCCAGAGAGATGTTGCTACCAAAACGCTGGTACAAATGGGCCTTCAGCTCGTCCATTTCCGCCTTAATAATCTTGGCCTTGGCTTCTACGCCTGCTATCTCCTTGAGCACCTGATCCTTGGTCTCCTTCAGCAGATCCTGGGTTTTTTCCAGCTTGTGCGAGAGGAAGACCTCGCCCACCAGGAACGGAATGTCCTCGTCCTCATCGAACAGCTCGATCTCCTCTAGCGCCTCCTCCACGCACTTCAGTTCGTTGCGTTTCATTTCCAGCTCGGCCTTAAAGTCGTCCATCCGGGCATTGTGCTTGGCAAAGCGGTTTATCCTCTGCTGGTCCTCGAAGGAGATGTGCACATCATCGTGCTAAAGAAAAAAAGGAAAATACAATTAGAATCGAGGAAGGATAGTCTAGTTTTCTGGTCCCTTAATTCACTGGCAGTGCAACTATTTAAATGACACCTTTTCCTAGTGGAACACTTCAGATCACTTTTCAGAATGGTTGAATTCTGTTTAATTGAGTGAAATTCTTCAGAATTAGATACATTCCAAACAAACTGACATGTGCCCTTAAAATTGAAGAAACTTTAACAATTTTATTGATTTTTTCCATCACATTCGTATTTTAATTAGTTGCTGTAAAACAAGCTAAAAAAGGATAATAATGTTTTTAATTTAAAGTTGTAGACTTATTTTAAGGTGACAGACGGACAGACTTTTCGGAAATCAGTGATACATTATAAAATTAATGAAATATATATTTTTAAACGTTATAGGGCGGTGAACTTTATATCCCTTCCGGGATACAAGCTTTGAATCAATTAAAATTGAATTGAAATGACTTTATGCCAAGTATATTAATTTTTAGGGGCCACCGGATCAGTCACAAAGTGAGGTTACTTTTATCCCCATCAGCTGTCCATTGATGATTCACCAATACTCACGTTCTGGAACACCTTGTTCGTTCCGCTCGCTACTTTTGCTGCCATTATTCAGTAATTTTTAATGAATTTTATAAATAAATTAGGCTGTTTTAAAAACAGTTGCTGTTGTGGGTGGTTAGCAAAAAATTAGAGGTGGCGAAACTACGATTGTGACATTAATGTTTTCAAGGCATCGGTTATATCGATGATTGGCATTGTAGTATTAATTATTTTCCACCACTAAAAGTCCCTACGAAGAAGGTCGCCAACTATCGATAACAATGCTAAAGTTGATGTTTGACCGCCTTTAGAACGGGTGGCTGAACTCGCTAATGTTAGTTTACAGTGTAAATAACGTGTAAAATCGGTTACTTACAGATTTTCTCATTTTATCCGTATTCAGTAAAACGAATTCGTTTAAACTTTATTTGATAATTAATTTATAAAAATTTAATTAATGTCCTTCATGCCCTTACTCTCAATTATATTACTTAGCTTCAAGAAAATCTCATTTACTTATAGAAATATTAAGTAAGAAATTGCAAGTTATTACTCTTTGGTTTTAAATTGTAAATACGATTCTGAACAATCTCAAATTAACTTAAAATATTTATTCACTAGGGAATATTATAAAATACATTATACATGTGAATTACATGCCAAGATATAATAAATCATTTCGATGCTAATGTATATAATTTTTATAGGTGAGCATCCAAAATTATATTTTATAAATAAAAAGAGTTTCAAAAATTGTAATTCAAATTGAAACAAATTTCTGAAAAATTAATTGTGACCGTGATTTTTTCCACATATGCACAATTTTTGTCATTTATTCGCCACGAATTAAGCCCACCACACAGCTAATTAGTCAAAGTTATTATTGCTTCCTTTTGGCCATTCGATTTAATCACTAATTGCTTGCACATGTCACAAATTAAGCAAAAACTAATAAATTATTTCAGTTAATCACCGTAATTAAACGGGATTTCTTCACCCGATGCAATTAAATTTCCGTTGGCAGCTTAGGAATTTTCCGTCCCTTTCCCCATTGTATTTCACGGCTCCATCCGCATTAAGCGGAGTATTTCGGATGGAGAATGCATTTGCCACTTTCATTTCCCCTTTGGAATATTATCAAAATATGCAAATGCAATTAGACGGAACTTAACATTATCCATTAAGGGAGTGAGAAAGTAGGGTGTTTGCCGAGCAAGAGAGAGTGTTAATATCCTGAAGATGACTGCGCTTTTCCTTTCGCTTTTCCGCCGAAATTCCCTTAAGCCAGTGTCAGTTTCACAAATCGAAATCATTTCGATTTTAGGCAAATATTTGCAATACTGCAAATTGAAGCTTAATTTATTGAATTAGCATTGCATCAATATCATCTGAAATTGTGAGATGAAAACACGTTGTTTGTTGCAACAAGTTGTCCGTCGAATTGTGTATTCAAATAATATCAGCTTGTTAGTTTAGCTTTACAATTTGATTAAGCGGAGGCTCGAATCAAAATAGTTCCCTTTAAATAAACAAGTTTATTGATTCAGTGCAATATTTAAATTTGTTAGCTTTGGGTGTAAAATGATTTGTTGGTATCATTAAATATTTAAATGGATTATTCTCCCAAGCATAATAAATTCTAGCTGTGTGTTGCAACTAAAAAACATGTTTAAGAGTACAAACTAGATATTTATTTATCATTCGTTTGATTTTTAATTTTTTCTATTTCATATGATTAGATTAAGTTTACTGTTTCAAAAAACCAAGCATGAGCAATAATTTTTTTATTTATTAACTAAATATATAATTCCATGCTTAATTAGCTAAAACAAATAAACTTCATTTATTTAAAGTTTATCACTATTAAAAATCCAAAGGAGAGTTATACTTGTAAAAATCAGTCTAGACTGTATCTTACATAAATATTTTATTATAATATATTTTATTTGAACAAATATGGTAAATTAAATTAAAGAATTGTGCTATTAATAAGATAAAATCATTACTTTTCTGATAGCAGTATTGTAAAATCATCGGGATATCTTTAATCAATTGAATTTAAATATTCATTTTATAATATTAAAGGGACATTCTTAACCAATCAATGACCAAAACGTAGGTTTGTGTCTCTTTCGCTGCCTTCCATTGAATTACTTCCCATTGACCCACTTTCGGGGCATCAAGTGATGCCCACATCGAGTGTCGCACATATGGGCTGAGTCCTTGGCAAAAGGATACTCCTCTTCTCCAGTGCGTGGATGCTGCCACACGAGGGAAATCAAAAGACATGGCGTCAATCAGTTTTCCACTAAACCAGGCAGATGTCGCCTGCTGCGGGCTCTTGCCTTCCTTTCCCTTTTGATGTCCTGCGAATTTTCCCTCTACCCGATCTTCATCAAGTGGAAAACCTGGCAGCAATTGGCGACCTGTAGTTGAAGGGCCTCCATCCGAAAGGTAGTTAAACTTTGCTTAGCTCAGGTATTGAAAAATTTCGGGTCCTTCAGTTGGTATTTACATTTGCCCAACTATTTCATTGTTTGTCCATTTTGCTGGATGGATGTGCTTTGATTTCGATTTCATTGCACACAGGTGCGCAGCAGGACAGTTCGGTTCGGTAAATGCTGTTTGATCAAGCCAACTATTTGTAGTTGTCCTATAGCAGGGCCTATACATTCAGGGAAAATTATAGTTCTTTGGGTTGAGTTAAGGATAAAACTCAGACGATTACAAATGTTTTATTATTTATAAGAAATTAAAAAGATTTTAAAAGGAAACTCTTCCACATATACATACTTTAATTGTTCAGAGATGTGAAAACGTTAAAATTCCCAACCTCTTATTCGCAGAAGATTAACAAAAATTTTAAACTTTGAATTACACAGAGAAAGAGAAGTTTTGTGCCCATACTCTTTAATTATGATAAATAAATAAATAATAACTAATTGTTTATATTGTATTAATTGAAATTTACTATCAACAAATATTCCCCACCACTACGAATCCATTTTTCCAAATTTTGCCTAGCATTTAAAAGCTTTTAGCCAATATTAAACTTTTTCAATATGATGTTATTTCACCACAATTTTTTTGAGTACATGCACTTTTCAGTCTTTTGTACTTTATTTTATAGTTGAGATCTGACAACTCTTGTTTATTTGCTGCTACTATTTGTGGCTGTGTCTAACTTCGGTTCTCTTTCATTTCTCCAGAGTGTCGTGTCGACTTGAGAAATTGTTTATGTTTAATTGGAGTTTCGACTTAAATATGCATGCTTTAAGTTGACCCGACTGAATAAGCCTCCCCCTTAATTGAGTTAACATCCCCGGGTTCTCATTTCGCATTCCGTGTTCGTATCTCTTTATTTTTTGGATTCGATTGCAATTTGTGTTATTAAAAGCCGACTCTGTGTGGGGGCTTGGCTATAGCTTTAATGCGTTAATTTATCACGCCAGACCCGTTCGTTCTATATAGATGCTTGTATCTCCACATGAGAGTCACGTTCTGTCTCATGTCTCCGATGCGAGGCTCCAAAAGGATTTATGGCCTCACTTAAGTTTCGCCTCCTGATGGGGCACAATTTGAGTTTTGTATGCGGCTTTCAGACAGGTGCCATAAGTAGGACGAAAATGAATAATAATAGCAGCTACTCATATATGATTAACCCGATAAATGATAGGCCAAGTGGAATCAGCGACATTTATTACTCACTCGCCTAATGTGGTTTTAATGAGTGCGTGACGGTATTCAATATCAGGGCAATGTCGTTAGACTACGCCCAAAATGGACACCTTTAAAAACTTTCAAGTGCACTTATAGTTCAATCAATAAAGTACATGCTAATTAACACAAGTAAAAATAATAAAGATATCAATAAATTAATCAATTTAATTGACTTTCGGATGGTTAATAACAAATATCATAAATATCTGATTTTATTTGAGCTCAATTAAAAACTTTTCTTTTATATAACATTTAAGACATGTATATTTGTACCTATTTCAATAATTTTCTTATTTTCTTTTCCTAATATCAAGAATTCTTTAAAAACCCAAGGATAAATTATTTTGCTCTATTCTGTATTTTATCTTCTTCAAATTAGTCTTAAATTAAAGCTTCCTTTGTTACAGTTTCTTTCTTACTTTTGTGACTGCAGTTGAGTGAATTTTTGGTTAAATTAAATGTTTTTAATGCCCCAACATTATGTGCACGACCGACAAATGTTCTTGGCAGGCCACACAAAAGAAGCTCCCTTAAAACTGAAAAGGGGCAACCTGATGAAGTCTCATAAATAAAACATGGAGCTTCTCACTCTTACTCTGGCCGTTCAGGTTGTTCAATTCATAAATAATGAGTGAGTTCTAGGTGAACTCTTTGCCATTCCTTTGAAATGCAAATAAAAGGTATTTTCCTAGCTAAACTTCAGCAACCACATGGCGTATGCGCAATACCTCCCTTACTTTTACTTTTTTGTGTTTTATGTTTTGAACATTTTTACAATTCAATTGAATTCTTACAAACTGTCCAGAAATAAGTTCAGATATGAAAAAAAATGTTGGTTTCCTCGGGGCCAAATTTGAATTGTCCAAATTGAAACGAGCTGTTTGGTGACTTTCCATTGGATGTTTTTCAACCCGTTTCGCTGACATCAACTGCATTGAAATGTCATAAAAATTGAAACACGTTCCTCGTTGTGTTCGCTGCTGTTTCCTGAATTTGAACCTGGAACCCCCATCCTCCAGCCGTTTTTCGGCTGACTTTGAATGGCACTTCTGGTGGTGACTCTGTCCTGCAGTATTGCTGCTTTTTGGCCTGCTGCTTTGCATACAAATAACGGTAATCTTTGGCTGGCCAAGCCCATTTCCCTGACCATGTTAAGGCCCACACCCCCATCCCTGTATTTCCCAATGCCTAACCCCATCGCGCAGTTAGTGTGTCTGCCACTGACGATGTCCCAACTTGGTCCATTTCGCTGATGCTGCAAGTTTGCACTTTACACGTGGCCTGCATCCATCCATCCTTTATGGGCGTGGGCGGAGGGGGTGGTGAAGGGGCGTGGACCACGTCTGGGTGCACTGGATATTATGAAAATTTATTGTTTTACGTGCGAGTAATTCTGGCAATTTTGAAAGACTGCGCCAAAGGTCGAAGCATCTAAATCAATGCGGAAAAAAATGAACC